AGCAGGGTTTTGACTCTGCTCCAAGGGTACGGATATGCCTTCAATTTGTTTTTCCTCTGCAAGTGAAACAAGCCTGCTAACTTCACTTTAATTATGCTGCTGAAGGTGGTAGAATCTGTAAAAGCTTCTTAAAGAGTTAAAGAGTATTAGGTTCACATCCAGAAACAATAGCTATTTTAATTATGGAAAAGGGAGCTTGAATGTCTTAGTGCCATAAGGTTATAACCTGGAGTTTGCTTTCTTTGTTTTCACTGGAAGTTGATAGAAGCAGTATAAAATGAACATTAACTGAGAATGAAAAATATAGGACTGATATTTTTTTTTTCCTGACCAAATGAATCACTTCTAAATCTTATGTCCTGGAAAAATTAAATCATGAGTCACAGTTTTCTTGGCTGAAGATGCCTCTCTTTGGATTGAATGTCTCAGCAATGCAGTTTGTAGGTGTGTCTGCTTCTCTGTGCTGCTTTCTTTGCCTTTTCAGGGCTTAGCTGTATTCCTCACCTTGCAGGCTCTTGGGCCAGACCTACGGAGAAATGCAGCGACCGCGCTTCCTCGCTGCCTGTGCACCTAGTTGAAATAGGAGAAGGGGGCAGAGAGCTGAGGCCCGGGGACTTTTCAATCCTGCAGAGCTCCTTCACCTGCCCCAGACTGCCGAGATCCAGGCCAGCCCGTGGCAACGGTATCACCTCCGTGCAGCTGGAGCTCTTCAGCTCGCTCCTTGCAGCGGGGTCCCCACAGGCACCGCGTTGTCATTGTCTCTGACCCCCTGTGGCTATTTAGTTAATTTCTAATTAACTGTTTAACTCCTACTAATTAGTCATTAGTATTAGCTTAGCAGCCCTAACTCCTGCCTGTCTTTCCCGATAAAAACCTGAGGCCGAGTGGGAGAAATTTTCCAGTGCACATTTGAGCTGTTGTCTTTCTGAGGCCCCCTCCAAAACAGTGTGGGAAACGGTGGCTCTTTCCTTGGTGCCTGTAGGTATCTCATGGGGATTTCAGCCTTGTCTGTAAGTAGAGCCCTTCCAGTAGAGCCTTCTGCTGCTCTCCTGGCGCTCTGGCTACCCGAGTCCAGATGCTACCAGTGTCACAGTCCTCTTGGCACTGTGACACTGGGCCATGAGGTTGTTGCTTGGGCCTTTTGCTAGAGCACCTCGTCTGCTGCCACGTTGCAGTCCTTCAGCATCCCTGTTTCACTCTGTTGTGTGCCGTGGCCCAGGATCTCTGCGTAGAGGGAATCATTCCCTTCTGTTGCTTTAATCCTTTCCTCCTGGCTCTTCTGCCAGATGGGACCTACCTGTTTGGATAACAGTGCCTGTTTACCGCCCTCTCCAGACATTTTCTGCCCAGGAGAGTGTTTCCTAGGACTGCTTGGTTTCATACACAAAGAGTTCTTGGAGACTGGCAAAAGCATAATGTGGTGGTGTCTCCTTGTAAGCAGCAGCCACTGGAAGTGTCTAAGAGCCTGTGAATTTCAGATCCTAAGCCGAAATGATATGTGCCTCCTGGATATTAACTTGCGCTCTTACCTGTGACTTGGCTTTCCTGAACCTAATGAAAAGCGAAGAGGAAAGATGCAATCCAAGTGAAAAGGACCAGTGAAATTGCTGTATATCCTGTTGCAGTCAGATCCCAAAGTGCAGCTGGTGCTGTTGTGTAGAGGTCAGCAGTCAGTTCTCGCTTCTTCCCTCACCTGCTGTCCCTCTCCCTGGTCTCTGATGATGATGGTGATGAACAGTGTGTGCTTCGCACCTGAAACACAGCCGTCCTCTGCCTGGGGAGCGTGGGATAAGCTGCAGTGTTTCTTGCCCTCCCTTTGGTCTGCCAGGACAGAAAGGGGCAGCTGGTGGCTGCTCTGCTATGAACATGCATCATCCCTGAAACTTGCTTCCCCGTGATGCTCAAGCTCCAGTTGCGTAGCCCTTGGTCCAGCCTTAGGGAACACTCCAGACTGCAGGATGGGAGGACTCCTCTCGTGGAACTCCTTTCCTGGGATTCCTCTCTTGTCTGTCTGTTCCATGTGTGCTCTGCTCTGTGCTTTCCACTAGTTGCAGCCCAGTTTAGCTTCTTTAGGTCCCTCCTTTGGCTGGCCACAATGCAAGGATATAATTGTTTTGTTCTTTGCTTGAGGACCTCTTTGTCTTTGAGACTTAAGCATGTCTTTCTCTCTGTTATCCATAGCTTTGGGTCCTAGGTCACTCTGTAATGAAAACATCAGCAGAACGTAAATGAATAGCTGGTGTAGAGAGGAGGATGTTACTCTAGCCTCTGTGCTGAGGTTGGCTGAGGCATCCTTCAGCCTGGGCTTAACAAGTCTTCATTGCCCAAGAAGCTCCAGACTGGTGCTGTCTGCTGCACAGTCCAGGACTTTGTGTCTCTTGATTCTTTGCCTTGTGTTTGATGGATCTGAAAGGGACCAGCCAATGTTCTTACTGGGGACTCAAACCCTTGTCTCTCACAGGTGGACTGAAAAACAGAGACAGTCCTCTATATCGAAGTATGTGATGAAGCTCAGGAAGGCAAAGTTTTAGGTTATGAGATTGTTCTCAATGTTTTAATTAGTCCTATTCCTGAAATCATTGAATATAAAGAGAGCATAATGCATTTTTTCAAGTGCAGTTGACACAAAAAGAGGAATTCATTAGCCATAGCACAGCCAGATTTTTCAAAATCTAAAAATAATAATTTAAAGAGATTTAATTCAATATATGAATAGCATATTCTCTAGGAATCTAAAATGTACTGAATCTGTAATGGCCACCTGCTGCCTTTCTGACTAGAAGTGCATCCCACTGTTATTAATGGCAATAATGTAGACACTGAAGGCACACAGGCAACATCTTAATTTTCAAAACTGGTAAAACGTGTTGTGCTTTTCCTGTTCTTTGGATACATGAATCATTATTTAATAACAAAGGCTGTATTTGACATATGTGATCTGTCTCACTGAAGCCACTGGAAGAGCAGAATTTGATTCGAAAGTGCCAAATAGCCTATAGTCTTGTGAAACTGTTCTCACTGTATTTTTTGATGTACCCAAAGCATCTGAGACTAAGGAAGTACCTGGAATCTGAGGAGGAGAGCAGCAGACATTGCCTGCTAAAAATATACGTAAATATTTAAATATATAAAGCTAGAATTAATAATGCAAAGCTGAGAAAAGGCTCCATAATTTCTGTCTGGATGGTGGTTGAGTAGCAGCAGATGAGAACAGCAACTTTATTCAATATATACAGGCTAAAGCTCCCTGCCGGTGAGGGGATCAGGCCTGCAAGGTGCTGAGTGCTTTGGCTCTGGGCCAGCAAAGCTTAATTTCAAGCTGTAAACCCAAAGGGACGAGGATGCTTTAAGGCTAAGGCTGAGCTTAGATGCTCTGCTGCAATCTGGCCCAGGGTCGCAATACTTTGCCAGATTAAGAGTTTAAAGAATAGAGAGCTTTGTGTTGAGTGAATCTGAAAACGAATCATGGGGTGGTGATAACAAATGTACTGTTGGCTGGTGCTAAGTCTTAGCTGCCTGAGCTCCTCTTTATGGGTAACTCATTACTGCTAATGGGAGTTGTGCGCATGAATCAGAGAGAATGACGAACCCTTAAGGTTTAAAATATGGACTGGTTCCAAGATCCTGGAATTACATACGTGGAGAGCGCTCAGTGAAAGAAACAGTAATTGAATAGTTTACCCCAGAACCACAATTCCAACATCTTGTACTGCTTTATTGAAAATATATTTTATAATATGCTCTTTATTTTTCAATGTATTATTAAACTTCCTTAAAGATTAACGCAATCTGTTGTCAAATTTTTCTCATGTGGCCTGATTGCTTTGCAAAATTCTGTATCCTACATATGGCCATCTGTCAAAACAGCAGTGACAAAATGAATTAATCTGAATTGCAGATGTGTTAATGAATCCCTTTGAAGGGCTTAAGCATTTAATTAAAAGTAAAGCAGAACACTATAGATAATTTTTAAAGCTTTTAAAATATTCTAAGTCATCTTTAATATTTGCATTTTATTTTCAGACACATAATTTATTTCGTAGGATTTTCTCTCCCCAAATCTAATTAAAATAATACAAACAAAGCTGACCTAGTGTTTAGCATTTACTTACCATCAATTACAAAGAATTAAAAATATTTGCACAACGACGCCAGTCGTTAGATACTTTCTCCCTAAAACAGAAAAGTCCTCTCAGGAAATTGCCAGCTGCCTTCTGATCAGGCTGACTTTAAAGATGCTAGTTAGTTAAAAGCCCTTCGTAGGGTCGTTTTATTATATTAGTATGACACAACCAGTTATAATCATACACTCGGGCACTCAGATGTGTCCAAACCCTTGACAGATGTTGTGTTTGAAAGGATCTTAACGCTTGCAGCGTGTTGCACGAGCGGGCAAGGCTGCAGATGGGCTTGCAGGGGTGCTGGCAAGTGCCCTTGGTTGCCATTTGGCCATCATCAGCTTGGAGCCCAACTCAGCCAAGGTGTTGAGCGGTCCCTGTACCTTGGTGTCACCCCTTGTGCTGCACTTTGTCTCCCTATTAAGGATATGCTGATATATTTCAAACATTCCCCATGCATCTAGAGGGCACATTAAAGGGAAAAGAAAGAAAAAGTAGATTTTGCTGCAGTTGGATTTTCTAGCAACTAGGTCTCTCTTGGGACTATGGAATCTCATGAGGTTTGTGACTAAAGCATGGGAGTTTCTGACAGTGAAACTCTTCAGTGCCTTCAGTGGGACTACTCGCTCTTAATTTCAAGCATGTCCTTATGTACTTTGCTGAATCCGAGCCTGAAGACTTTTGTACTTGCCAAGTTCTGAGTCACTGAAAGTGCTGCTGCCTCAAATGAGCTAGTGACTATAGCAGATTCATTCTACAGATTATTTCTGTATCCATCTTTTGTTGAAACTGATATCAACCTGAGTAGGAAAAAAAACCTCTTAATGTAGCTTATGTAACACATAAGATAATGGTTGAGGCTTGTATAGTAAGTTTAATTAAAGTGACCTCTAATTAAGCACTCTTCATTGTTCATCTGTTTCTTTTAGCTTTAGAGAAAGAGATTTCTGCTTAGAAAACTTACTGTGCTGTGATGGTGAAAATTGTTTTCTAGAAATCTCTTTTTAAGGTGTTCTCAAAGAGATTCCTCCTTCAAGGAGCAATAAACGTTCTCATATACTTGCATGCATGTGCTTAAATGTGTAAATTCACATGTGTGTGCATATTATGTATCCACATGTATACAAATGTGTAAGTAGATGTAAAAGTTAGTATGTCCTAACCCATAGTAGTTATAACCTTAGTAGTTAGATGCATGCAAGCGTAACATGATCCATACTGTGAAAATTAAATTACTGAACTAACAAGAAAGCAAGATACCTTAAGCTTTGCAAAACTGTAAAATTAATATTGCAGCTATGTCACCTTCGCCTGCAGCTGGACTGAGCAAGGGGGAAAGAGAGAGAGAAATCAATTCCACGAATTTTGGAGAATGTAAGACTGAGCCGAGAACGTATCTGTGTGTTGTGGTGTCTCGTTGTGGTGTCATTGCTGCTGCGTGGCGGGAGGGCCTCATGTCCCGGGCAGGCTGGCAGGGCCACGTGCCAAGGTTGGCTGCCAAGGTGCAAAGTCCTCCCTTCACGCCGTGCTGGATGTCGTAGACGCTGGGAGGGGATCGTGTTCCCATTTCACTCGTAAATCTGCTCACCGCAGGACCGCGTCACTCGCCTCCGGGCCCGTTCCTCCTTGTGGACTTTGCAGAACTCTTCTTACCACTTTTGCGATGCTACCCAAACCATCTGGGTTTTGGGGGGTTGTTTGTTTGTTTGTTTAAAAAAAAAATAAATGTTTTTTCAAAGGGGCAAAGTTGTAGTGACTGGCTTGAGGAGGCCATTTTTCAGTGGTTTTCATCACAGAGTTTCAGCACCACCATGATATTTTCCATTTGTCTTGAGAGGACCCACTTTCTAGTTGTCATAACTAAGGAAAGTGGCTTCTCTTAAATCCCGTCGAATAGCAGGGACCAACCAAGAAGTCCAGCCTTGACTTTATTGAATCTCTGAGATGGTTGAGGTTTGGTTCCTCATCCAATCTAGACAGTGCTACTGAATCACTACATGGTTGAGCTGGAGCAAAAAGCGGTAAAAGGAGTTTTGTTGGGTTTGTACTCATGTCGTGTTCGTGTATGTGCTGTCTGTGTGTTTGTTTTACCTGTGTTTCACCTGCTGTAATCCTTCCACTGGAATGAGCATTACATGGATGAACTTGCTTTTTTGTGGATAGACCGGTCTTTCTGTTGCTTTGGTTCAACCCCTCCAGTTACATGTAGGCTTGCTGTCGTCTCCGCTGGCCATGAGTTGGCTAGTTGGTTGCCCAGATGAAGAACATAAGGCTGGAACATGAGGCTGGAGAGTTGACAAACGGGAAGGTGTTGAGCCATGCAGAGACAACGGCCCCATGCCGGAGCTCTCCGACAAAGCCGTTTTGCCTCTGACAGATCGAACGCACGCTCTTAATTGCTTTGGGCCTGCCTTTTCCAAAAAAGCCTGTGAAGTGCTGGAGAGACACAGTGACCCACACTGATTGATTCACTGTCTCTGTTCTGTTGTTGTGCCCGAGGTCCTTGCTGTGGCAAATTGCCTTCAGGCAGCTCCTCCTGCCTGATGAGCAGTGCAGGCTTCCAGCCTGTTTATCACCTGATTAGTCTGTAATTGCATTTGGAGGGAAATTAGCCTATAGTCTGGTAAGGTAATGCATACAGATCTCAAGCTTCATTTATAACTGCAAGCAATTAAAATGGGAAGATGGCGTGTGAAAAGATGATATATAAAATCATTGGCTATAAACCGATCTGAATGAAAATGTCAAACCTGACGTTCTGTGCCTCAGCGCTCACCTGTCCTTTTAATTTCGGCTTTTCCCTGGTCTTGAATTCATATTATATTTTAAGCCTATTGCTGAGTCACTGAAGAGATTGCATCGGAGGTGAGCAAATGTCTAAAGCTGGGAAGCCCTGACTGAGCCCCAGAAGCCTGGACCTTTGCACAACAGGCACTGGTAGAGTAAAAAGCAATCAGAGCCCCCTCTGACACTCACTCATGTCAATGGAAGAAAACAGCTATATCTGCACAGCAGTTTGTCTGCCCTAGATATTGAAAACTAACTCCTGTCTGACTGGGAGAGTTGGCTCCTGTATCTGAGTATGCACTTATTTATATTATACTTCCAAAATATATAGTTTGGTTTCTTCACTTAAAGATATAGGCAGCTGACTTGTAAAGGAATAGCTTTTTCTCTCATTAATTATAAATTTGGGGAGGAGATTATTACAAAATTAGTCAATGTTGCAGTTACTAACCAATAAATATTAAATGAGCCTGAAGTTGTCTTCTGATATGATTTAATGTTAGCAATTAATTTTGCATTTTTAAAAGAGAGATGAAAGCAAGCATGAATAAGTTAATATAAAACATTTCTGTTCAACTCCACTTCAAGGTTAGTACTTCACTGTATGTAATATTCATTGTAAAAATCTTGCTGGTGTTCCATACTAATGAGTAGGTAAGGTCATTTTTTTTTTTTTTTTTTTTTTTCTGGCAGGGTGATTCTCCATTGTACATATTCGTTTATTGATGATTTGGAAGAGGCTTTTGCGTTGGATAGCGATGCTAGAACTGATGGAGATGTTACAGTAACAAACAAATGGAAGTAGAAAATAGAAAACATCGAGTAATTGTTGGTAGTAATCTAAGAAATAGCCCTTTATTGCTTAAATCTATGAATGCTTTTAATTAAAAACAAAAAAAAAGGGCAAAACCTCATTTAAAGAGTAAACTTGTGTGGAAGGCCCTCCCCATGTCAGTCAGGCCTCACCACTGTTGTCTGTAGTCAAACCCTCACAGCAGAAGTAAGTGGATTTTAGTGGATTTCTTTGTTTTTGTGGCCAGGAGTAGGCAAGGTTCCTGCACAATGCCAAGAGGGCCTCAGCAGAGATGGTGGCAGAGGGAACATCGGTCTGTGCTTTTCCGAAATGTTAACTTTTCTTTCTTTCTCTTCAGTTCCAGATTATCAAGAGCAGGATATCTTTCTTTGGAGAAAGGAAACTGGCTTTGGATTTAGGATTCTTGGTGGAAATGAGCCTGGCGAACCTGTGAGTGCATCTGAGAGCAGGCTTGTTTTATCCTGTGATGTCTTCCGGAATCAGCGCAGTGACACGTGCAGATGGGCTGTTCTGCGCTGGGGCATCTATGTTAAAATAGTCACTGGGCTAGGAATTTACGTCCTGCAACTCCTTCCCTTCTTCCCATCAAACAAGCAAATGACCAAAGCCCGATACTTAAAATGGGTTTGACATCACTTGCTGCTGCCTGTTTTTGTGATCGCCCAAATGAAAACGTAAATCAGAAATTTTCCAGACACGGATGTCCTGAGCCTGTTTGCAGTTTCCACTGTTTGACTTCAGAGTAGTTTGAGAGGTGTTTTTGTTGTTGTTCAGTTTCCTTCCTTGAATTCACTTAACTTCTTAACCAGAAGTCTGATGCCTATGAAAGGTGTTAGGCTGAAAGCACGTAGCCTTCTACGCACCGTGCAGGTCAACACTAGATAGTAGCAGCATAAACTTCCACCCATTTCCCTGCCAAAATACTTTTACCCTTTTTTGGAAAGAGAGGGCACAGATTCCTTTCTTTTCATGCTGGAGTAACTTCACTGACTCCCTGAAGATAAACCAAAGCAGACTTTGGGATGATGTTCAGTCTGGAAATCCTAGAGGCAGCTGAAAGTCTAACTCAATCTTAGCATCCCTGACAACACTCAGCTGCTTTTAAATATCTTCCACTCCTTCTGCTGGAACACATTTCCCAAGGCTGGCTGTCATTTGAGCGAGTGGATTGCTGAAAGAAGCAACATGTCTAAACAACAGTGTTTTTATGGTGATTTTCATGATATGGGCAGTGTCCTGGTCTGTAATGCACATGGAGCTGCTTCCAGAGGAGCAAATCAACTAAACAGCAGACATTAGTTAGCAATTCCTGGTCACTAAGAAGTTGGGTCTGAATATCAGCCCCCTTGTTTCCAGCTGTCAGATAAGCATTTTCTCATTTGTATTTTTTCTTGCTGTTTTTTTTTTTTTTTTTTTTTTTCCTATCTCTGTCCAAACTCACCAGATTTACATCGGTCACATCGTGCCGCTGGGCGCTGCGGACGCGGACGGCCGTCTGAGGTCGGGCGATGAGCTCATCTGCGTGGATGGGACACCCGTTGTTGGAAAATCGCACCAGCTTGTCGTCCAGCTTATGCAACAGGCAGCCAAGCAGGGTCACGTCAACCTGACCGTCAGGCGCAAAGTCGTTTACACAGGTAGGCTGCAGTGTCGCGTGGCGGGCGAGATTTCCTTGCCAGACCCCATCTGTTCAGCAAATGGTTTAGAGCGCAACGGTTCCTCCTTGTCATACTGACAAAACTCAGGGGAAATAAGGTTATTCTCTCTCTTTTGACAATTTTTGGCTTTTTTCCTTCTTGGACAAAAATGTTTGAAATATTTTGTTTCCAGGCAAGATTCTCTTTTATCTCATTTGTCTTCTCCAGTCTTTGTGAAGGTTTCTGGTAAAGTTGGGAACCATTTGTTTGCAACATGTAGATTCTCTTTTGGACCTGTTCAAGAACAGACTTTGCACTTACCTGCTTGCCCATGTCTTGCATTTTCTTCCTAAAATAACTCTGCTGCCTCATAGCCTGAGGTGAGGGAAGAGATGCTGAAGAGTCCACAGAAGGGGAGGCAAGGGGAAAGGGAAGGAGAGAGAGTATCGATGGGTGTTTAATAGTGTCTGAAGCAGAAAAGAAGCTTCACTGGGTTTGTACAATACTGTACAATAGTAAAGTCAACTAACTGTAGGATATGAAACTGGAGGAAAGCAAGTGTCGTTGGTTCTGATGGTGCAGGGACCTCGTGGGTGGTTGTAATGCACAGGTTTCTCTCTTTGCACAGACTGCAAAAGAAGTGTGAGCAGCCTAAATGGACCAGGGAGAATAGTTGCCAGAAAGATTAAGGTGCAGAGAATAGTGTCACTGCAAGGTGGTGCCATCCCAACTGGTGACACAAAAATGTCCTAATAGAGCAAATGACACGATTTGAGCTTTCTAAAGTTATGTGATGTATAGGAGAGTAGATTTTGATGTTGTTGGTCAGTTTAGGGAACTTGAGTCAGAGACTTTGGTTTAGCCCTTTCCAAAAGGAATGGATGTGAAGTAGTTATTTGAGTTTAGGCATCCATAGAAAAATGAATAGTGATGTACCTCAAGCTTAAAGGCATCATAATAACGTTTTTGTTGAAAATTAGGCCCACAGTGGAAGTTACAACTAGAACGGTACCTCAGAAATAGCTCTAGGGCTGGGTTCCCTCCAGACAATGTAAGGCAAATACTCACTTATTTCTTTTCTTATTTCCATTAGGAATTAAATGCAGGATTATGTCTTTGCTCTATTAGCAGAGGAGAATTACAGGAGCGTCCTGGTGGTTTTGTCATTGCTGTCAGAGAGCTGCCCATGTGAGAGCACAAAAATAGAGATGGAACTTGGTAGGAAAGGAAGAGCAGCTGAATTTTTGGTGATATTTTTGTGCATGATTTTTTTTTCTGGTTTTAAAAGCTCTAAGCTGGAAATTATCATAAAAAGATTTAGATGCATGAGATGTTGGTGTAAAGCCTTGAAATTCAAGGGCTTGTAACTCCAGATGAGCTATTTCAAAATCATTTCAAATATGGGCAGTTATTCTGGGATAAATTACTCATTTTGTATTCATAAGCTTTTGAAGCCCACCATAGCTTTTTAGACAAGCCTGCTCTTGAATTTTGGCCTCTTATTCTTCCTCTCATCTACATGCGAGTAGGAAAAGATTATTCACCTTAATAGGTAGTCACTGTCCTGAGGTTCATATAGGGGAATATTTATGCTCTTGAGTTCCTAATATGTAGAGTATTGTGGGTTTAATACATATTTAAAGTATGTAAGTCCAGACAGGTAGTTCTTTTTCAAGAGTATTTTGACATTCTGTTCCCTTGGACCATGGGCTTGCAAGTTTCAATTTTGTGCTTGGCTCTGATTTTCTGGTTCCTTTTAAGACCTTCAACCCAGTCTTGATTCATCAGGCGAACTGGTAAAATGACCTGATTAACAGAGGCAGCCGTTCGATAGGGACAAGTGCACTGTGCTGCTTTTAGCTGCACAAAGGGACTGTGGGGACTGGCTGGGTAACAAGAAGCAGAGATTATTGTGGGCCATAAGCTTTACCTGAGCTACCCTCTGATAAAGAAGAACCCTGCTGGGATGCAGGCAGGGAACGGCCCTCCTGATTTCCCATCAGGATGATGGCTCAGCTGCAATATGGTCCAGTACGTTGTGAAAGTTGGAGAGGACCCAGTTGGAGGGAGTCCAGAGGACCCGTGAGAATAAGGAGAGCTCTAGAAAAACATGGTCTGCAAGGAAATACTGAACAAATTGGGATTGTTTAGCCTAAAGCAGACAAGGGGGAGGAGGTGTTAAACTCCCCAAGACTCTAAGAGGCTGCCGCAAAGAAGGAGGGAATAATATGTTCTCCATATGTCTGCTAGATAGATGTAGAAATAATAGCCTTATGTTGCAGCAGAGAAGATTTGAGTTAGATATTGCAACCAATAGATTGCCTGGGGAGATATTTAACAGCAGATTAGACAAACATCTGTCAGGACTGACAGTAAGTATAGATGGCCCTGACTCAAGCAGAGTGCGGACTAGATGATTTTTTTGAGATTCCTTCAAGCCTTATGGTAGTTGATTAGATTTATACTGATACCACATCCAACCTCAGTTGCTGTTCAACAGTTGTGATATGTTTGAAGTCTTCCCCAAAACTCTGCTAGACTATACAGGTGATAGTTTCTGGTTCTTCTGACCAGAAAAGCTTATTTTCCAAGTGTCTTTGCTATCTTATGAGTAGTTACTACTACTCTTCAGAACAGATAATTTAATCAAAGGCAACCAGTGCTATTTAACTGATGGTGTTGAGCAACACACAGGTGGATAGCTGGTGTTACTGTGTCTGCTTGCACATGCACGTGGTTGTACATGTGTTAAAAGAGCCACGATGAGCTAATGCAGTCAAGGTTTAAAATGCCACAGATGCAGGCACATGGTGCTGCACCGGTCCAGCTGTACTGCTGTGGTGGTTGCAGCAGCAAGTGGTGTTGTTTGTACACTCTGTGTGCCTGGGAGCATCAGCATGTGTGGTCTGTGACATTCACCTGACAGAGCTGTCAGTGGTGGTGTCCAAGAGCCCTTTCTCGCTCTGATCGTGATCTATAGATGAAAGCTAGAAATCATTAATTTTCCCAGGCACGCGGTGTTTTTCCAACAGGAAATGCCACAGGCTGCTCAGCGCAAGCGTGCTTTTTTTTCCTCCCCTAGTTCCCAAGGCAGAGAACGAAGTCCCATCCCCAGCCTCGTCCCACCACAGCAGCAACCAGCCGGCCTCGCTGACGGAGGAGAAGCGGACCCCGCAGGGCAGCCAGAACTCGCTCAACACCGTCAGCTCAGGCAGCGGCAGCCCCAGCGGCCAACGCAGCGGGGGGATCCGCCGCGGCGAAAACGAGGGCTTCGGCTTCGTCATCGTGTCCTCCGTGAGCCGGCCGGAGGCGGGGACGACGTTTGGTGAGTCTCCATTCGGCCGTGGCCGCGACAGAGACGCGGTGTGAGGCAGCAGGCGAGGCGCTGTTTAATTACACTTCGTGAGCGGGCCCCGATTTCTGCAGTTCTGAGCTCAGTTGGAGGTTGGGAGTTGGTAGGTGTTTGCATCCTGGGTTTAGCTCAGTGCAGAGTCAAGAAGAACCAAACTAGTACCTTGAACCTGAGGAGCAAACTGCCACCACCAGTGATTCCTGGCACTGCCTGAGCTTGCCACAAGTCCCATGGCCGCCTGGCAAGCTCGGCACCTGCGGGGATCTGCTCTAAGAGCAGCAAGGGATTCCCTCAAAGCTGCGCGGGAAGGGAGCGAGTGCAGTGCGTTACGTCTCCGGGTCCTGGAATGGAGCCAGTTGGGTTAAAAGCAGTAATGCTTAAACTGATTAACTTCTCTTTGGCAGTTAAGGTTATTCTCCTGATCCTCATTATGGGGTAAGCATGCTGCTAGCTGGAAAGTTTTAATTAATGGTGCTTGCTGGTGAGACGTGCAGTGGAGAATACTGTTAAAAGAACAGGTCCACTCTCTGACCCTCACCACCTTGTGTCTCCCTTCCTAGACACTTTTCTTTAGAGCAGGGGAAATCAAGAAGTTCCTGCGCCAACACATTTTGTATCCTGCCTTAACAAAAGCAGTCACGGCTTCTTACTGTAGACAGCCCCTTCTGCTAGGCAGACATCTATTTGCAGATGAAAAAGCAATGAAATTCTGTCTACAGAGCAAATGAACCATGTATTGAGAAACACAAATAAGCTGGTTTTGCCGTTGTGCCCAGCACAGCCTGCACTAAAGCATAAATGTCACTGCAGGGGGGGAAACAGCTGCCATTTTCTTCTCTACCTGTCTCCACTGCAAGGGCTAG